GAAATAAAGTAAATATTAATAGTAAACATTACATTGATTCTTTATTAAATTAATTAGTACAATGGCCCTTTGCGACGCGTTCGTGTTTCGCGCATTGTTTAAAAGAGCATAAAATTAAACGCTTATCCGCTGGCTGTCATCAGTCGGCAAGAGAATGAAAATTTCTCTTTTCTATCTCTGGCAAATCTGCGAATAGCACGGATAGTTTTCTTTTAAATACGGTCGTGTATATTGCATGCTTAAATTCATTTTCATAAATGCATGTGACGCATGAGAATAATTTTGTGTGGTGTCTAACACATATTTCTTTCAGTGAATAAAATATAAATTTAAAGTACCCGTGTTAGTAGAAGGTGGCATTGCGAAACCATGGAAGAGCCTACGAAGAACGCTTTAAATGCGTGAAAGGGCTACAGGGAATTCGTTCAATCTTATTAAAGATTGAAGGAAAATCTACAATAATAAAATAACAAAACTAAACAGACCAATGGTATAACAATAAAATATTTAGACAAATACAATGACATTTCTTGTAAAAGCGCGAATTAAACCGCGTTGGAAATTGAGACCCTTCATTGATCGATAAATTTTCTCCGCGTTCTGGTTATTTAAACCGCGTCGGGAATTGAGTCCCATCTTTATTAATTAATAAAATGGTAAAATGTTTCGCGATATTTAAACAACTACGTGCCGGAACTCGCAGAAGTTGTGGATAAATAAAAATAAGATTGCTCAACTTCACGCGCCTGTTTAATCGACTACGTGCCGAGTTTCGCGAATGTTTTTGATAATTAAATATACAATTGTTAAATATCTCGCTCATAATTAAACGATCACGTTAAGAAGCTCGCGATCGTCTTTGATAATTAATAATAAGAATGTTAAATTTCTCGCGCCCATTCAAACGACCATTTTCCGGGTATCACGATAGTTGTAATTAATAAATAATAAAATTGTTAAATATCTCGAGTCTATTTAAATGATAGCGTTTCGGAGCTCGCGATCGTCTTTGATAATTAATAATAAATAGGTAAATATAATTTTTTATTCATATAAAATAATGTGAAATGTTAATTATTTTAAGCACATCTTTCAAATGAATTTTATGTTTGTTTGTTACAGTATCGCCTACCCAATCCTGAGAGGAGGAGGAGGTCTGGGAGAAACATCGGGCATCGGCGGAGCAACCTTGGGGTAAATATAACTTTTATCCATAT